TAAACGGCACTGTAGATTTGTGGAACCTCTTCTATAGAAGAGGTTAGAACTGGCAGGAACCCACCTCTAGTGCAGGGGTAAGCAGAGTGCAGGCCAGTGGTGGCACAAGGGGTGGCACATAGGAGTAGGACAGAAGTGAGGGGGGACTTGAAATGGAGATGAGCTTTCTCCTCACACAGGAGAAGTGTGAGGTCAACCACAACCAGGACTACCAAAATTGCCATTGCTAAGCAGTACAGTCATGTGGGATTTTGTGCCTCATAGCCACTTTGCATAGTGAAGGATATTTTGTTCCCAATTAGGGTTATTAAATAAGGATTATCTGTATAAGTCTCTGCTTTTGGGAAGGCAGACAGGGTTTTTCTCATTGTATATTGTATTGCTGTGTGATGGGAATGAGATTGCAGAGTTCTGGAAGGGCTTTCATGATGGAGATGAAAGATTATTATTTTTTAACAAAATCTCCCTGAAAAGAGAACACAACTACAGTATCACAGTGATGTAAGATCATTCTTCCTCTTGAAGAATGGTTTCTCTTGGGGAACTTCTTTTATTTTAAAGGCATTTCTTTGATGTATATAAAGATACAGGACAGCAGCATTAAGAGCATCGTGATATACAGCAGGAGCAAGGAAGATATGTCTGTTCAGATCAGTGGTGGGATTCAAATAATTTAACAACTAGTTCTCTGTCCTAGTGACCAGCTGGGTGGGTGGGGCTCGGTGGTCATGTGACTGGATGGGCATGGCCAACTTAACGTCACTCAGGTCGATGGGCGCTTCGCTTTAGCTGTTACAATAATAAGGGTTAAACCAGAGAGGCGGTTTCTGTAAGCAGGGCAATAAAGATTAGGCTAGAAGCAACACCAGAATGTTTCCTTCCTGCCTTCCTTACAGGATTAGCCCTGTAAAGTGGGAAAAAACAAAAGGAGATTTCTTCCAACAACCGGTTCTCCAGAATTGATGGTGAAAGATACTAGGAGTTGTGGTTCAGCAACATTGGAAAACCAGAGATTCCCACATTCCTGCAGTCTACAATTCTGCCGCATTTGTATATCATAACTATGGGCAGACAACCTCCTTCCTCAAGGCAGCCATTAATCAGTTAAACCTCCTTACTTATTGTTCTAGCATCATTACCTGAGGGAACATTCTTGATTTAGTTGTAAAATACCTGCTTTGCATGAAGAACATCCTAAATTCTATCCCTGGGCTGGGGCTACTAAGCTTAAGTTCTTTTACATGAAAAACATGTTCATCGCAGCACTTTGGTTTCCTTTTGTTGATCAGGCTGAATTTCTGATTCTGACTAGGGCTCAATAACTTTTTTTTAAAGTCACCAATGGCATTTTGTACAAAACAGATCAAGAAAGTGAAGGAGCTGTGGTGGCCCAGTGGTTAGAATAAATTATTGCAGGCTCACTCTGCCGACTGCCAGCAGTTCGATCTTCCATGGCTCATGATTGACACAGCCTTCTGTTGTGGCTTGGCAGGAGCCGTTGGAGCTGCCACCAGACTCCGACAGCGAGGGGTCTTATGAGTCGGCCCTGGAGGAGGCGGAGGACCCTGGACAGGGTTCTGACTTCGAGGAGGGCGCAGAGAGACTAGTTGGTCACCAGGTGACGCCTGAGCCTTCGATCAGTGGGGAGGAGACAAGAGAGAATGTCACAGAAATCACCTGTGAGTTGTTCCGGGATGCACACAGGCGAAGGGCTACTCGGCCTAAAGAACAACTAAGTAATTACAGGAGGTAAGAGAAACCAACTTGGATAAGTGGTTTGCTGTGAGAAGCCTGTTTACAGTGCTGCGTAGGTTTATAGGACTTTTTGCCAGAGTGATTATCTCTTTGTTTATTTTGGGCTTGCAGCCAACAAGAGTCTGGACTGATTAAAACATTCTTTCTTACATCTGTTTTGTCTTTTGTTCCTGGACGGAGAAGGAGGGGGTCAAAACAACCTTCCATCTTTTAGAGGCCGGTAAAATGAGGACCCAGATTGCAACGGGCAATAGGCTTACTCTGTAAACCGCTTAGAGAGGGTTGTAAAGCTCTATAAAGCAACATATAAGGGCTATTGCTATAGTGCTATACTGTGTTGGAGGATGCAAATACTTCATGGGCATTGTATTATAAATTACAGGTGCAAATGTAATGAGTCTTCCTAATGATGTAGATGCACAGTGTTATGAGATGCAGAGCATAGAGGGTATGCATGCCTATCTGGAGTTTTACTGTCCAGTTTTCATAACTTATGCTGCTTCGTATATATTTTAAGGTAATAAATGTAAGCTATAATTCTAATTCTAAATAAATATTTAATGCTTCTAGCACTATGTTATGGACAAGTCAGCCAAAATAACCTGGAAACATGTGCACATTGGGAAGAGCTGTGGTGAAAAGGGGTTTGGGGTAATTGGATACATTAAGCCTTCAGACCACAAGTCCCTGAACAGCTATAAGTATTTGTTGCATTGCTGGCTCATTCATGCTGAAAGGTCTCTGATAGATGCTGCTCCATGTCAAACCACCAAAGGCTTTCGTTAAAGAGCCACTGGCTTGTCAGGAAAGTTGGGCTTCACATTAGGTAATCTTCTCCTGAATCAAATGCTTTTAAATAATGATTAATCTAAGGGAAATTGAACATTTTGTGATGGGAGTGCTTGCTTGAGAATATCTATATCAAAATGTACTTCATGGACTTATAACTGGAGGTTTTCATATGTAAGTAAGATGAGAGATGGAAGAGAAGATATGGAATGAGGGTGGTCTTGGTACAGCACTTGGAGATCACCAGGTTGGGAAATGGGAATACACTCATTTATTCATTTGTGTCCTCTAATACAGTACATTCATTTGTGTCCTCTAATACAGTGTCCTCTAGTACAGTCCTCTAGTACAGTTATTCATTTGGGTCCTCTAATACAGTCCTCTAATACAGTACATTTATTCATTTGTGTCCTCTAATACTGTATTAGGAACTCAGCCAGAGTTCCTGGCTGAGGAACTCTGGGAGTTAAAGTCCACAGGTCTTAAAGTTGCCAAGGTTGGAGACCACTGCTCTAATAGAAAGGAAAACCTCCACCCTGTAATTTGTTAAAAAAATATTTAGGTATTCTTGAGATGAATAAATATGATCCTATCCAAAAGAAAGTTTGCAATAAAAAAACAAGGCCAAAACTTCATAAAATTGACATCGTTTATTTATGCTTGGGCTTGTTACTTGAAGCATAACATTTGTTCCAGGCCAGGAAAGGCATTGGCACCTTCTGAAGTGAGCATTGAGTGCTTCTGTACCGGAGACAAATTCCTTGTGTGTCTAGTCACACTTGGCCAAATAAAGTATTCAATTCACCTTCTGAAACGGGATTCAGTTTCAGGTAAAAATAGGACTGCATCATGATTGTTCCGGTAGTTCTGTTTAAAAATGTAATTGCTAAAAATTAAAAAGAAAATGTGCTTTTCCCCTGAGAAATGTAAAAGCAGCCCATGAATTTACATATATTAAAGATAAATGTAAATGTCTAAGAACTGTCTAAGACTGTTCTTTAAAGAAGCTAGGTAGAATTATGGGCTACTGCAGTGGTTCTCAACCTGTGGTCCACCGACACCTGGGGAGGGGGACTCACGATATCATCACAGAGGGTCTGTGAAGGCTTGAAGAAATATTGTGATTTAAACCTTGAGTCTTGGGGGTCCATGGCCACAAAAAGTATTTAAATGTTGTATCCATGGTGAAGAAAAGGTTGATAACCACTGGGCTATTGGCTTCACCTTCTTAGGTCCTATCCTTTATGCTAAATATATTCAGAGTAATATTTTCTTTCAAAGTTATCTGAACACTCTGCTTTAAGATGTAAAAGAACTGTCACTCAATGTCATGTAAAGGGTTTCATCTGAAGCCCTGGATTTAACACCAGATTCTGAAAGGTTACTAATTATAGGGTCATGAACAATATTTAGTATACTATATGTGGTGTAATGGTTAAAGCAATAGACGGAATGGATTATGTGTGTGGAGCAGTGGTGGTATTCAAGCCAGTTGTGACAGGTTCTGGAGAACCCGTAGCGGAAATTTTGAGTAGTTCAGAGAACCTGCAAACAGGCTGCCCCCGCTCCCACTGCCTCCCAGCAACCCAACTGATCTTCTTTTGATGCCCTGAACAGGAGAACAGAGCTGAAAAGCAGATTAGTGGGGTGGGGAGGGAATGGGGATATTGCAGTAACCTTCCCCTGCCACGCCCACAAAGCCATGCCCAAGGAACGGGTAGTAAAAATTTTTAAATCCCATCACTGGTTGGAGGCAGGATTTTGACCACTATTTCTCAGACCTACCTTATAGAAAAGTTGTGAATATAAAATCCATGTTTTCTACCTTATGCTTTCTGGAAAATAAACATGCTTATCTATACATATATAAAGGCAATAAAATGAAGTGGACTGAGAATGCTGGTAAACAAATATATATTAAATGTGCATAGGCATGAATCTGATTCTAAAGCCTTCAGACATTTCAAATTCTCATTATGGATGGGAGCTTTATGGAACACTCCTTCATTTCCAAAAGAGCTCTCCTCAAAAGCCTGAGATTTGATCAGATAACAGAGATATAAAAATTTGGAAATGCAACGACAGAAAAATGAAATTATGAGTTCCACATCCAATACAATTGTGTTTATTTTAGGAAAGGTATATCTGTCCTTTCTACAAAACATTCAACAATACATGGTGATAAGAAAATAAAACCAGTTAATCCAACTGAATTAACAATTTAAACAACTAAAGAGCAATAGCAGCATAATAAACAATTGTGTAAGAGTATCCTATGAGATTTCATGGAAACAGTTTTAGATCAGCATTTTTTCAAACTTGGTAATTTCAAGATTGAACTCTTGAATAGCATCTTAAAGTCCACACATCTTAAAGTTCCCAAGTTTGAAAAACACTGATCTAAATCAATTTTGAACAGGACACCTCATTGATTTTTCACTTTGGTGTTTTGTTGTTTTTCCCCTAAAGCTTTTATTTAATTCTGAGATTATTTCTTTGTTCTGTTAAAGATATGTGTCAATTCTCATTTAAAAGAAATGTTTTACAATAGTATTTGCTTATTTTTGTTTTATAACAGCATCTACAAATATTTCCAGAGGGAAATTAAACAGCAAAAACTACGCAGACTCTTAGGATTTTAAAGAAGTAATACATTTATTATAGCATACTTTTTTTGTAAACTGCAGTCTCTAAAGACTGCTTGCTTCTGTTTGATGCTGGAAAATGAAAGTCTAGCTTTAAGGGGAAAATGTAATAATAACAACACCGGGAAAGTGTGTGGTTTGGTTTTCCCATAGAAGTGATTTCTGTAGTTTTTGCCCTGGACTCAGGTATAAACATACTTGGTATGTCATTTAAAGTGTCGGGCTGTGTCTGAAAAAGAAGCTGCTGTATTCTATTTTGGAGTCCCCAACAATACTGCCTGTTAGGAAATGGGCCCCAAAAGCAGCAGGTGAGTGAGTGAAGCTTCATTTGTGCTTGCGCAGGTCTAGGTTGTGCGCAAAACTATCCCCACTCCCCCGCCCACAGTCCTTGGAAGTTTTCTTCCGTGAAACTGAACCCTGGTGCCAGAAAGTTTGGGGACCACTGCTCTATACAATCTGTTGAAGATCCTATGAAGCAGTGTTTTTCATACTTGACAGCTTTAAGACATGTGGAAATAAGCCCCCCAAATTGAAGCCCACACATCATCCCAACTGCTTTTTCAAGAGGCAACTGGACTTACTGGTTTTTCTTAGAAGACTTTACGCTCCTCATGCAAGAAGCTTCTTCAGCTTCTTAGATGAAAATCGAAACTAAGAAAAACCAGAAAATCCAGTTGCCTCTTGAAAGAGCACCTTTGGGACTACCATAACCTGGATAACTAAGAATCACCATAGACAAACCCACACGTCGCAAAACTGTGAAGTCTGAAAAATATGGCTGTAACTAAAGGTACTGTACATATGGAATGGAAGGATTCGTCCTGCTGGTTATATTGGCTAAATTGTTGTGTATACTAACTGTAAAGTAAGACTAATTAAACATAAGGGCTAGAGTCTTATTTTTCATGAAGTCATACCGGTTTCAAAGTAGACGAACCTAGCTATCATGGTTTGTAAACCATGGTCTGGGATTTGGATGTATGAATTTTGTGTCTATATATACCTAGCAATTCCATTGGACCAATCCATGCTGTTTTCTTAGCAACATTTTTGGCAAATGCCAGGTCCTTTTTCCTAGGTCTGAAGGAAAGGGACTGGCCCAGGGACACCCTAAGACAGGCCTAGAACTGGGTTTCCAGCCCTGTATCTTTAACCAAACAGATAACAAAATGGCTGTCTTTTGTGAATTAGGTCACTTTGTTGTTTAATAAGCCATAGTCTAACCCTAGTATAGCATGAAATGCAGTCCAGATACTCTTATAGTCTTATAGTTAAAATAGTCTTATTTAAACATATAGAGTGCTGCATAATTCTATTGATGCTCAGTAAAGTGTGCTTGCAAATAAGTAGGGATAAATTGTAATCCTAAAGTTAAAGTTGAAAATTAAAGCACAAACATACACATACACATATAGACACACAACCTGGATACATATTTACAAAGCTATTTTTAAGGAACCCAGTATTGGGTTGTCTCATTAAGGCTGGAAATGGAAAGACTCTGGTGTTTACTTGGCAACAAAATGAGAATAGTTTCCTTTTGTCTTTTTTCCAGTATATTTTTTTTCACCTTCCTTTCATTTTCTGTGATTTTCTGGTGGTCTTAGGTATAAAGATAAAGGTTCCCCTCGCACATATATGTTGTTGCATATGAAGTTAATGCCATTTGGCCTACTCGAATACCATTTTCCAGTCTTCATGTGATATTTCTGGGTGCTGCAGTTACTTGCTTCTAGCATTTCTTTTCCACATTTATTTGTCTGGAATATTTGGGAGCTGGGATGAAATTGACAAGAGTTCTGCCATTTTCTATTTCTAAGCCAGGTGATAGGAAATATGGTAAACTAGACTGCAATTCTTCTGTAAGGCTTGTAAACCTGTCCAAAAATAGGCCAGCCAATAGGTCAGGAGCTTACTGATAGCTCACTCCACACTCCAAATCCCTACTTTAATCCCGCCATCATTCAGCTGGACCAGTGTTCGCCCAGTAGATTTGTGTTCTGAAATAGCCCACATAAAAGCCATCACCTGAGGCACTGACACATATTCTCCCGGGCTGCCCTGCCACAATTTAAGGAAAGTGGTTGTTGGTGGTTTATCCTGATAAGAGTTGACACTGGGTGAGAAGGAAACAAAGCTTCTGAGATGGCAGAAGTAAGGAGGTGAAGAAAAGAAGATGGAAAAAAGACAGCCAATAGTAGAAGCCTTAAAGGTCGTCTGCTGTCAGTAATGGGCATCAAAGGAGGCATTCTCTATGCCACTTCTCCCCATAGCTTCTTGTGTGGGCAGACACCCCAATTCTGCTTTGTTGTCAAAGCAGAATAGATGTTGGTAAAGTGTAGTCAACATTTCTTTAAGCGGACATACCTTAAGTTAATTCCTGTGCTGAATAACTGTATTTTAATACTGCGGTACAGAACAGCAATCTGTGGTCTTGCTCTTGAACGGAGCTTTTTATCTACTGGTTATATTGACTCAAAAAAACACTGTTTTCAGTAGATGGCTTTGTGATGATGTCATTGGGTGTGCAATATTGTTTTGGGGCAGGGAAGCTGTAGTCCTCCAAATGTTTTTGGAATACTGTTCTTAATAGTAGCAAGCTAGCTAGGTGAACAATAGGAAATCATGGGTAGCCGCAAATTAACACCACCAGGGCTATATAGGTATGTTTGCTGCGGAGAGAAACATTATCAAAATGGGAGGTGCAACCAAGTGGTAGAACCCCTGCCCCCTTTATCTGTCTGGAGTGCATATGGCTATTATGTCTGCCATTTTGACATCACTGATTCCCCTGCAGCCAGGGGAATATATGTGTGTGTTTCTCATACACACACATACATGAATGTAAACACACACATACCTGTACTTGATGTAGTTACTATCTGCTTCTTTCTATATTATAACAGTTTTTTGGGGATGGTTTTTAAAAATCTTTCTTGAAGAATCTAAGGATAGAATGATAAATTAATAGTTTACAGTTACTTTTCAATCCAACAAATTATTTTTATTCATATTTATTATTCACTCAGAACTTAGTTGGCTTCCTTAGATTGGGCTTCCACAAAAAGCCCAATCTAAACGGATTATACACATGTGTATTATACACATGTGTATTATTTGAAATGGTCTATTTGCATCAACATCTCCCCCCTCTCCCAGAAATACTGGCTTGCAAAAATATGATCAAAAGTATCAGCAACTTGCAGAATAACATAACATGCACTTTCATAGATAAGTAGAAATCAGCTTCTCTAACTTGATGTTTTCCAGCTGCATTAAACTATAATTCTCAGAATTCTCAGCCACCACATCTGGAGGACCATAGTTGAAAAAGACCAACGGAGCGCTGGACCAGAATATTTTTCTGAATTCAAACTGATTTTTAAAAAGTGCTTTTGCCTTTTTTTTTTTTTTTAACACAGAAAGGAATTTCAGTTAAAATCCATATAAAAGGAGTGTGGTGTTTTGCATTAATTCCATTATGATTGTACCCAACGAGAAATGAAGTATGCTGGTAATTCATTGTAAAGTATTCCTCCTATGATCTACACACACACACACACACACACACCCCTACCTCTTGTTTTCTACAAGGATTTTTTTTTCAGATAAGAAGTCATTGTAAGCTGAGAGGCTACAGAGTGATGGAGAGAGGTCAAACTGAAAAAGTAACGGCCTCACCCACAATAGCTTATATTAGACAGATTTCTTCATGACTTCTGAAACATCCTGAGAATGAGGTAGAAAAACTTAAGCAACCTTCACAAGGTGGAGAACAGTTTCAGAAAATTGAACAGCAGAATGTGGTCCAATATTAGACATTTGCCATCCTTTTAGTAAAGGGACCCCAAAATTAATTCCAACGGTAACTAACAAACATTGTTTGCAGATTATGCACTAGACAGAATGACTGGAGAAATAAACCATCACTTTACTGGTCTTTCAATTTATATCGTATTCTGACATCTGTTTCTGGCTGCAGCATTCCAAAACCATATCTCTCCTTGTCAAAGCCTGGTATCTTCTGAGCAGGATCTATCAGTTCCAAATCAAAACAGTTTAAGAGGTGGAAAACAGATCTGTAAATAGGAGAAAGCAAAAACAAATCAGTATAGCCAATGATATTGACTTTGCATTTTTATTGTGCTTTAATATCAAGAAGTAGAAATACCTAGCCTCAACACCAAAAAAGAAGGGATATTTAAAAAAAACATTGCAATTGTAAAATTAGCCTGTACAATTGTAAAACAAGGTGCAAATTTGCACCTTGAGTCCTTATCCCATTGAAAGTAAATGTGATCTTATGCAGCTTTGCTCAGAATAACGTGTGGCTTTATTGGATATTTCTAAAAGACACTGGCAGCCAGAGGTGTGATTCTTAACAAATTTATCCAGCAGTAAGATCCAGAAAAACTTTTTTTTTAACAAACTATGGCTTGTAGCCGCTTCACACCCAGAAAAGCAGGCACAACAAATCCTCAGTATGCACGAGCTGAGATATTTGTAGGCAATCAGCGTAAGCTCTCCAAATGGATTACTAAATGAATCCTTGAAATTTTGCTAAGGCAAAATTGAATAACAGACCAACTGCCAAACTAAGGGTAGGCTATTACTAAAACAGTGAACAGTGATCTATTCTGGGGTATATAAGGAAACTAACGTCTGCTGCCTGCTTTGAATTGCAAAGTAACACCAGACATGGACGTCAAACAGAACTTGTGGTTGACATTCATCTTGTCTCCTTTCAGTCTGATGGATCACAAGATGTAAATTTTATTTATGTGCTCATTTCATGAGAAGTTACTCTGGCTGGTTATGAACAGTGACCCTGGAACTAATGGATGAGGTAATCTCAGATGGAGTATCATCTGAGTAATGGATGAAGACTTCATCAAGAGTTCTAAAAATAGATTCACTCCATATTCACATCATAAAACCAAATGAAATGAACATTTCTGTTTGCTTTTTTTGCCTTTAAGAACTTTAGCTTCTGCTACAAGCCAACCCTAGCTTCTTTTAATGGATATATTATGTTTAGAGATGGCTATTTTATCAGTGTTATGCGTCCACTTACAGTTTGATGTTATTAACTGCAAAGAACTTTCCAATGCAGACATTTATTCCTGCTCCCCATGGCATATTGTAATATTTGAGCCTTTGTCCTCCTTTATAGAAGTCTTTTTTTTCTGTGCCATCTGAATTGAGAAACCGGTCATATATGAACTTCTGAAAAAAACAAGTTCAGGTAAATGTTCCTTTTCCTTTGAAATAACTAATATTTAAAAAGAAACATCCTACTTAGGATATTGTCGATCAGAAAGGTCAGCAGTTCAGCGATTCGAATCCCTAGTGCCACGTAACTGAGAGAGCTCCCATTACTTGTCCCAGCTTCTGCCAACCTAGCAGTTGGGAAGCATGTAAAATGCAAGAAGAAAAATAGGGACCACCTTGATGGGAAGGCAACAGCGTTCCATGCGGCTTCGGCATTGAGTCATGTCGGCCACATGACCCTGCAGACGTCTTTGGACAGCGCTGGCTCTTCGGCTTTGAAATGGAGATGAGCACCGTCCCCTAGAGACGGGAACAACTAGCACATATGTGTGAGGGGAACCTTTACCTTTCTCTTAGTTAGGATATTTAGCTTTATAAAATTCCATCCAAAAGTTTAAACTAGAATAAATAGGAGAGGAAATGGCTATGTGACACATGATGGAGCTGGATCCAAAGCAGGCCCATTAAAATTGGTAGAAGCTAACCCTAATGAACTTCAATTCCATGAATGTCTATATGTTAAGTATAATAAGGTCTTGAAGCAATCAAAAATATTTACTGTTTGCAAAACATGGCAAAAGAAATGAAAGCAGTTACATAAGAGAACAGTATATGGTATTATTTTAGGTTTTGAAAATTTATTTCAGTTTTTTTAATCCTGCCTTTATTATTTTTATTCTCCATAACTCCAATAAAAAGAATCAGAGCTCTAATTACACAGGGAAGGAAATGAAATCAACCTACTTGATCTTTATCCTTTTATTCTAACGAAAACAGAAGATTGCAATTACTTAAAAACTATCTTCACTGTGGCTACTGCTCCACTCCAGAGTAAATTTAGTTATAAAGCCTTGCTGAACATTGTGAAAATAGTTTGTTATACTGGCAAAAGGAACAGCAATTCCCTAAATGAACAACTATGTATTACTTTGCCTTCAACCTTTACCCTCTATGCTGAAGAAGAAGGGAAAATAGGTAAAATAGAGTTTTCCTTCCACAGATCCCTTGTGGAGGTGACTAGTAGAATATTTGTGGGAATTCTTATATTGTGTTCTTAACCTTCTTTCAAGTATGATAATAATCATAATTTTTATATTTAGAGTCATTTTTCCCCAGTCCCGGGGGGCGTACGGGGGGCGGACACAGGATTTACTGTTTATTGGAACTTGGGTTATAATATTATCATGGTTTTCTCAGCATTGTTCATGGGAAATTGTTCACAAAAGGAAGCTGTTCCAGTGTGACTCTCTGTCAACAAAGAAAAAATTAGGAAGGTGAAGTAAAAGAGAAGCAAGTTAAGAATACTGAACTGGGGAAGATACTGATATATTTTTAAAGATGTGCAAGAGGTTGCCATAGCAACAGCCAAACAGGAATTCCAGGATAGCTTTTTATATTCTTAACTATTATTATATCATTGTATTTTTATATCATAAATATGGATCCAAACTATTTTTGTCCCTGGGAAAACTCTTGAGAGCCAGTCTTATGAGAAAAAAATATATATTTTGGAGCTGTTATGAAAGAACCATCACGGATCTTATTGTTACCCACAGGAGGTTGCATTCCTTTCTTGATGCAATCAGTTCACACGTTCAGTGCAGAGAAAGAAAACTCAAGACTGATGCATTGGTGGGCTGATTCCCCCCCCCCCACTGCAAATATGGAACTAATTTTTTTTTTGACGACTTTACCGTTAGTTACATAGGACCATTTGTTTAATGAGAACCAAAAATATCCTTGGAAAAAGTGACTTACAATCCATCCCAGAAGTTTGTCCACCATTGCACCATCCGCATGATCGCAATTTTGCCAATTGACTCAACATTTACTGCATGTTGGTTGCATCCAGGGCTTCAAAAATTTTAGCAAGGGGTTCTCTGCCTGGTTGCTGGGTGGGCGTGGCCTAGTCAGCCTCCTGCACTATGGCACGAGGGCGTTTCTGCCCTCTATGGGCTCCAGAGGTTTTCCTTGAGCCTCCGGGAGGGCAAAAATGGCCTCCCCAGACTCCGGAGACCCATTTTTCACCCTCCCCGAGCCTCCATGTGACCCCTGTACTTACCTGCATTCAAAAAGGGCTGCGTGGAGATGGGAGGGGTGGGCGGGGCCAGCCAGGAGTGACAGAAACTTAGCTAGAGGTTCTCCGCAACCCCTGTGAACCCCCAGCAGCCCACCCCTGGTTGTATCTTGTGGTCGCATCCTGCAGCCACAAGCAAAATCAGTTGGGGAAGCTGGGTTTGCTTAACCACTGCATCATTTATTTAACAGCCATGTGATGCACTGCCCAACCATTACGGTTTGTTTAAAGACCATAGTAAAAATGGTTATAAAATTGGGTAAGGTCATGTGATGACTCACTTAACAACTGCATTTCTCAGCAACTGAAATTCCTGACAATTGTGGTCATAAGTCGAAGATTACCTGTGTACTGGATTCACTGTGTTTAAACACAGTTGAATCTTTAGAAGTCTTTAGCAGTGACATTTCCAGAAATTCTCCCAAGAATAGATCTTTAAGGGTCTAGGACAGCAATGGCGAACCTTTTTTGGCTTGTGTGCCATAAGTGGGGGGAGCACAGGGGGGGTCATGTGCGGGCGTGCCACACCCATAATGCAATGTGCAACCCCCACCAGTACACATGCGTGCACTACAGGTGTTTCCCCCCCCCATTTTTTGCATGCTTTTTTCACCCTCCCCAGGCTCCAGTGGCTTTATAGGAGCCTGGGGAGGGTGAAAACAGTGGACCTTCAGGAGGCTTCCCTGAACCCTCAGGAGCATTCAAAACAAGCAAACTGGAAGTCCATTCCCGAACTTCTGGTGTCCCCATAGGGCCGTTTTTTTGCGCTCCGGAGGCTTCAGGGAAGCTCATGAAGCCTCCGGAGGGCCTCCGGGGTGGGGGGAGGCTCTTTTTGCCCTCCCCAGGCTCCTATAAAATCTCTGGCTTTATAAAAAGGTGAACTCAGCTGGCCAGCCTGCGCATGCGCGCTGGCCAGCTGAGAGGGCAGCGCCTCGCGTGCCCTGACAAATGGCTCTGCGTGCCACCTGTGGCACGTGTGCCATAGGTTCGCCATCACTGCTCTAGGACAAGGGTGTCAAACCTGCGGCCCACAGGCCAGATGCCTCGCACTCTGGCCACACCCACCCATTTTGGTGAAGGGGAAAAAAGTCACGATGTGTCAAGTGACAACAATGTGACAACATGAGTTTGACACCCATGATCTAGGACAATTCACAACAACCAGATTGGTTTAGATGGGTTGGGTGGGGTAGGTCGGCATGACTTGGTGAGTGCATCCATCCAAGCCCACCTAGCCACTCTGACAAAGTAAGACTCAGCCAGCTGCACCCACCCACCCACGTCCACCTGGCTGCTGTGACTTCTCCCATTCTGGATCTTTAAGACTCTACCACAGGGCTGTCAAACTGATGGCGTCATTGATGGCAACACATGATGTATTGGGATTTTCCCCCTTTTTGCTAAACCAGGCATAGACGTAGGCGTGGGCGTGGCCAGTTCATGACGTATCCAGTCCATGGGCCACGAGTTTGACAGCCCTGCTCTACCACAAATAAAGGGAGAAAATCTGCCCACTGGTAGTTATAAGATAAGCCTTGGATCACAGTCTTCTTGCTTCATAACCTGACTTATACAATGTCTACATGTAGCTTTTCCAGGGATTAAATTCAGCAGGTTTTGACAGGTTCGGGAGAACCGGTAGCGGAAATTTTGAGTAGTTTGGAGAACCAGCAAATGCCACCTCTGGCTGGCCCCAGAGTGGGGAGGGAATGGGGATTTTGCAATATCCTTCCCCCAGGAGTGGAGAGGATGGGATTTGGTGGAATGGAAATTTTGCAGTATCCTTCCCCTACCACGCCCACCAAGCCACGCCCACAGAACCAGTGGTAAAAAAAATTGAAATTCCACCACTGAGCTGTTCCCTCCGATGACTTACCATTATGCCATTGCTTTTCGTTTTGACAAGTCTTAAGAATGCCGCGCCCTGAATAATCACAGTTCTTCGCTTCATACAGTTAGTTAAGATACATAGCATAAACAAACATCAGAGCAAAGTCATCAGGGGAGATGGGATTCCGAATAGCAGTGTTTTACCTCTGGCTCCTCGTAGACTTCAGGGTCCCTCTGAGGGCTTATGAATGGGAAGAGGCAAAGCCTATCTCCTTTCCTCAGGTGGTACTCTCTGCCAGCTGCCAGCCTCAGGGCCATGTCCTGAAGGACCTCTCGGCTGATAAAAGGCGCGGCTGACAAACGCAGGCTTTCATTGAAGGCACTGTCTGCAGAAAACAGAAAACCCACAGGGAAAATTATGGCACCCAAAATAGCACAGGAGCAAAAGTGCGGATAGCCTGTCATGACATGAATGTGCAGAGAAGATGATAGCTCAATTTATAGCACCCAAACTCCCATCTTGTCAAATCCTTTAGAAACAAGACCAGCAATAAAGGATGGATAATAGGAAGTCCTGTTCTAACATTGGGGTCCTAAGAAAACCAGCCGGAATATAATTCCATTAGATCGCTGCTTCTTACTACCAGCTAGTCTTGCCCTAGGCACGAAAGCCGGCTGAGTGACTTCTCTCTCAGCCAACCTACCTCATAGGGTTGTTGTTTTTGGGGAAAAAATAGGAGGAGGAAGCAGTGCTAGATATGTTTGTTGCCTTATTTATAAAAATAATAAAGGCGGGACGAAAAAAAAGATCTATGAATAAATAGCGTTTGCATACTGCATCCAGTTTATTGTCGGAGGGGGGCGGTTTCCCCTTTTTTTCTGGTGGCTTAGAACCAGGGGTGAAATCCTCCCAGTTCGGTTGAACCGAAAGGGACGATTGTCTTTGGTTCTGAAAACTGGTAGTAAAAAAAAAAAGCTCCCGAGAATCGCACAGCTCAGCTGTGAGCTGCACGATCATCGGAAGCTTTCCCCCTGCTTTTTAAAGCATTTTTTTCCTGCCGGTTTGGCTGAACCAGCAGGGAAAAAATGGTTTAAAAAACAACTTCCGACGATCGCGCGGCTCACAGCTGAGCTGTGCGACTGTTCGAAGCGATTTTTAAAGATTTTTAAAGCATTTTTTCCCTGCCAGTTCTCCCGGACAGGAGGGGAAAATGATTTAAAAAGCTAAAAAAAAAAAAAGCTGAAAGGGAAGAAAAAAGTTGCCCACGCCCACCCAGTCACATGACACACACACACCCCACCAAGCCACGCCTACAGAACTGGTGGTGGTGCGGAATCAGATTTCACCATGGCATCGAACATCATGGAAACTTAGTCAACTGTAACTTATTCAAGTACAGTTGAAAAACTTTGCATAATATGTAGAAGTGTTAATGTTTGTTTTATACATTTCCTTTATGCAATACCCAGAGTGTAATCGGACCATATTATCTGGAAACAGTGTAATATTGTAATACTGCAGTAGAGAAGAATGAACATAGGGAGGGGGAGAAAACCTTTCTATACAAAGCGAACCAGTGGAGGACAAAGAGAATGCTACAATTTCTTTTACCCGTTCAGCTATTTTTTTGTGTTGGGAATTTTCCCGTGGAGAAAGGGCAGTTTCCAATCATACAGTTCAGTTGTGCTGAAGCAGTTACCTTCACCATGTGATGTTATGTGATGATATGTGTTTGCATGAGGGGGGTAACACATTTTTCTATATACCTATGGCTGAGATTAATACTGTATTAAGATGCTGACATCCTGGAACTTACTTTAGCCTTGATTTTAATAGGATTACTGGTGATTTCTTTTTGTATTTATCAAGGGGTTTTTGCGAGGCATATGCTGATCTTTAGCAGGAAGGGTAGAATTAAAATGCTTTATTGCTAGTTTTAACAGCAGTTCCGAATACAGATCATCTGCATTTTCTTAAAGGAGACGTGACTGGGGCAAAAAGATTGTAGGAATCTAAGAGTTAAATGTCATGATTTAAAATTACAATTCTGTCTTCTACTGAAAGGTCACTCTGTCCTTTCAGAGGTGCCCTTACTACATTTTGAAAGTACTTTTTGCAAATTTCATACCAGGGATAAGATGAAATGTGAGAAAGAGGGCACAGTGGTAGCAGACGACCTTGAAAGTTAGATGAAACACACTGAACATTTTCCATTTAACCTGACAGCAGGAGATACAGCTTTTGACACTGCCAGACATTGATTGCTGATTAAGTATATGCCATCATACAATCATATGCATAAACTCCAATAGGCCCTGCAGCCCAATCCTCAACAGACCAGATTATAGTTAAGGTATTTCTCTTTAATCAACATCTGCAACTTTGCCTTGTTGATTAGCTCAATTTATAACCCTTCTCTGGGGTTCCCGACACTTGAATTAATAGCTAGTTCATTGTTAACAGCCACTACTAAAGGTGCAGGAATAACCACAAACAGGATAAGAGAATTCTTTTTTTTTTAATTAAACATTGGCTACTAAAAAGATTGTTGGGGTGCCTGGTTTATACAGCTGTTCTGACCTAGGCTTCACAAAATCATGGAGCAAACTCGTCCCGACAAAAGCCCTTTTTATTAAACTAGTGTGAATTCCTCTCATTCACATCCAGCAAAATCCCACAAACAGTCTTTCAAGGGTGAATTTACAACTACCGCAGGGGTGAGTTCTGGCCGGCACTACTGCTGGTTCGCTCGTGCGTGCGCATGAGCAGTGCAATTTGAAATTGTTCTGTGCATGCGCAGAACTGAAAAACAAGATGCCGATGCTGATGGTGCCAACCGGGGAACCGGTTCCAGCGACCCAGGCTGCCAAACCACTACCGGTTCGGCTGAACTGGTCCAAACCGGTAGGTACCCACCACTGAACCACAAACTTTATCAGGCTTGGAGAGCTGCCAAGCCAATATCTTCCAAACGCAATGCTGTACAAGAAAATACTTGGCAAGGAGTCTCTGAGTGTCGCAAACAAATCTTCAGACTAATTAAATGAACAAATTGTCTCCTGCAAACTCTACTCCCCTTTCATTCCTCTTTATTTCCTATGGGAGGAACCATTCACCATCCAACTGTGCCTTTACTCCCGAGTCAGCCCTTGTCCTTTTACTGTTCCCTTTTCCTGGCAGCTCTGCACATGCGCACATCGAGGACAGGCTCCAACTGTTCTTCTGCCCCACTGATCTCCATTATAGAGCCGAGGTGGCGCAGTGGTTAAATGCAGCACTGCAGGCTACTTCAGCCGACTGCAGTTCTGCAGTTCGGCTGTTCAAATCTCACCGGCTCAGGGTTGACTCAGCCTTCCATCCTACCGAGGTGGGTAAAATGAGGACCCGGATTCTTGNTCCTTCAAAAAGAAAAGAAGGACTAGGGGTGACATGATAGCAGTGTTCCAATATCTCAGGGGCTGCCACAAAGAAGAGGGAGTCAAGCTATTCTCCAAAGCACCGGAAGGTAGGACAAGAAGCAATGGGTGGAAACTAATCAAGGAGAGAAGCAACTTAGAACTAAGGAGAAATTTCCTGAAAGTTAGAACAATTAATCTGTGGGACAACTTGCCTCCAGAAGTTGTGAATGCTCCAACATTGGAAGTTTTTAAGAAGATGTTGGATAACCATTTGTCTGAAGTGGTGTAGGGTTTTCTGCCTAAGCAGGAGGTTGGACTAGAAGACCTGCAAAGTCACTTCCAACTCTCTTATCCTATTCTATTCTATTCTATTCTATTCTATTCTATTCTATTCATCCCTTCGAGAACCCCACTAAAGATCTCCAGCTGGCAGAGATAAGAATACATTATTTCCTGCCAAAAAGGTGTTTTTTTTTCAAAAGGCAACTAGACTTTTCTATATTTTTTCCTCCCTTGAAAATGTTTCTCATCCAGTTTGAAGAAGCTTCTTAGATGATGAATGAAACTTTTTCAAGGAAAAAAAACCAAGAAAAGTCCAGTTGCCTTTTGAAAAAGCACCTTTGAGACAACCATCACCTGGATGATTGAGAAACTCCATAGACATTATGTCCTGCCATTAATGTCAATAAGAAACAAGTGGTCCATGATGCAAGACTGATATTAACACTCAGCGTTTATATCTTCAATTGATTCTGAGCAGGGGTGGGTTCCGGCTTCTGTTACTGCCAGTTTGCTCAGGGATGCGCTTCACCCTTGCGCGTGCTTGTATTGAATGCACAGAAGCAAAAACAAGATGGCGGCGCCTACGGCACCGCCAATAAAACCAGTTCAGGAGTCGCTGGCCGAGTTACTACCTACTCGGCTGAACCGGTCCGAACTGGCAGGAACTCACCTCTGATTCTGGGCCACGGGTATGTTTTTCTAACTCTATCCTTTGCGTATAAGTAGTCCGTGTAAGAGGATGGAACTGGAGACTGAGAAACCATAAAGAGGATGAAATACAGAAAGTAAAATTGCATGTTTACCTGAGTACTCCAGAGTTGCAGCACCATGGCTCTAGTTTGCATGTCTTCATTCACACCAAGGTCTACCAAGTGCTCCTTATAGGTCTTCAACCAAACACTTTGGTTCTCTCTGCTGTTCAGTCTTTCCATAGAAAAAAAGTTCCAGAGATCCTTCCTGGTGTTGTAAAATGTCCGTTTTTCCACTATCGTACCAGAGATAGAAATATGGATGATAGGTGGTTACTATTGGGGCCTTCCTCCAATAAAATCAGAAGGTCTATCTTATTTTATCCTGAAAACAACCACATAAAGTAGAGGCGTTCTCCATTTTTTATTACATACTAGCCAATAACCAGCATTACCCGGGTATTTATATATAGGAGAGGAAATGTCTGGATCAAATGTAATTTCTAATGTTGGATTTTCCCCCTTGCGGAGTACTTTGAAGCCTTAACCATGGCAACTCCCCTGCGCTGTATAGTAGAAGCCATTTTACAGCAGTGTGGTAGAAGACATTTAAAGGCACAACAGGCTGAATCTTAACAGAAACCCCTCCCCAGGGGTGTTAGGGGTGTCTTACCCCCATAGTATTTTTCTCCAGAGAGTAAGTCATCTGTGCACCAAATTTGGTTGAAATTGTTCGAGGCATTCCAGAGTTATGCTGGAACATACACACACAGAGCCGTATATATGTATGTATGTATTATGTATGTATGTGTATGTATGTATGTATGTATGTATGTATGTATGTATGTTTGATTTTATGAAAATAAATTTATAATCTCTCTCTCTCTCTCTGTATGTCTCTCTCCTGGCAGGGGCCTTTCGGGCCCTTACTTAAGAGGAATAATAAATAAATGAAAGTAGCTTTTATGCTACCACATGAATTTCATGGGTGAGCAAGAATTTGATCCTGAAAGCCAAACATTATCCGAGTTTTTAGCTCATATCACTCAGGATGTATTTATTTTCGGGTCTTGTATACCTTCATTACTTGCACACCCTTTACATCTAGTAGGTATCAGGCTGAAAAGGACTTTTCTATGATTAAGTCAGGGATCAAGAACTCAGAGGAAGAAAGAGAGAAAAGGGAGGGACGGATGTAAGCTGTATGTGATTAGTGAGGTAGGTGTTGTTGCTTATCAACCTGGGACCACAGGTAGGAGATATAGCGCATCTACAGAGTCTCTTACATGCATTCATTAACAGAATTGGTGCATACACAAGTTTATTTCTTCACTCACTATAAGTTGTACTCCCCAGGTAAATTGCTATGGAAAGTGCAATTATTTGGGCCAGATGTTTTCTGTATTTGCTTGAGAAGGTGCTGTAATAATTGATAGGCATTTATGCATGATTTCACTATACATTATCTATCTCCCCTAAATAATACAATCTATGGATTTCATTTTTTCCCCTTTTCCTTNTGGAACCTCTTTTATAGAAGAGGTTAGAACTGGCAGGAACCCACCCCTGATTTAGTTACGTCTTTTAGGCATTCAATAGCTTTCTAAAGGCGACCTATGTATGTGAGGGTTCATGTATGTTGTTTAGAGGTCCTTTTATAATACTATATCCTCATGTATAAAAGATCTTTTCTCAGTTTGGATGAAAATGAGACAAACAGAAAGATGGTTTAAAGTCCCTTCTGGTCTATGACATGTTTGTTTTATAGCTTGTGTTAGCCATTTTGTTATTGGTATTGTTATACGCTTTTTGCTTATTTATTTATTTATTATTTGTTTTTATGTCATGGGTCATCAAAGAGTTACCTTATAGGCAGAGGTAGGTTTCACATAATTTTACCACCGGTTCGCCGCGCAACAAAACTGTGAGTGCTGATGTGCACACGCTCGCTTTGTGAGCGTGCGCACCTTCCGTGCATGCGCCTTGCTCACGGACCTGGCTAGCACGCATGCACGTGGCTTAGAAAAGGTGGCTAAATAGGACAGCATAGAGCTGGTGCAGGTGGGTGATCTACCTGCAGGTCGCCACCACCGGTTCACCCAAACTTGTCCGAACTGGCTGAATACCACCACTGGTATAAAATGTAATAAACAAAGAAACAGATGGGAGTCAGGTGGCAAGTTTAAATAAATAACTAGACAAACAAACAAGTAAGCAAGCTGGCTAGCCAGCTTTAAGCAACGCAATATGGAGACTTGGTTCTTGGGAACAACCCAGTGTTCCCTAATCGCGGCCATTCTTTCCCACCACTGCATCTCCTGGGAATGCTCTTATTTCAGAATCTGAGAAACAGAAAACAGGAAGCCCCAGCACTTCCTATTGTTTTATTAAAATCGAGATGATTAAATGAAACGCAATACAGCACTATTGTTGATCGCAAGTACATCAAGAGTACATCAATCCAATAGAGAGAAGTGCAAAGAATAAATAATACATGCTGATTTTGGAAGGCTGAGATGCAAATTTTGTTCTTGATTGTTTTTTTAAAATCTTTTTAGAAGGATAGCTGTTCTTTTAATTAAAGTGCACCCATTAAAAGTGGGGTGGAGGAGAAAGAATCAGGCTTTAAATTATTAAACATGGTGACCAAATGGATTTATTCATGTTGTAACGGGGGGGGGGGGGAGTCTCTCTTGCTGCCTTGAAAGTGTCTTTGGGAGCAGATTCGCGAACACTAGTTGGGATAATTATGAGAGGGACAGGAAATCAAACATTTTAGAGCAGGGCTTCCACTTATATGCTGGGAAACAATTAGTAATAGTCTAGACATAAGCAATACCTTAAATTAAAGCTTGCTGCCTGTACTTTTAGGTTAGTACCTCTATACTATGTGAATCAGCTTTTGCAGCGTTTCAGAGAGATCTCCCCATCCTATTTGGAATGCAAAAGCATAAAACTGATCTCTGCATGAAATCTTTGTGCTCTATCTCTTGATTTTGTGTGCTTCCATAAAGGTGTTCCTGCCTGCAAGAATTCAGGATACTTTGAGTTAAAGGATCTCCCTAGGTTAAGGTTTGAGAATCTGTGCCTCTCCAGATGTAGAAGAAATACATTTTTGATAGCTGATAACTGTGACTTCCACTACCAAATTCCTGGCTCCCCCAATCCAGGTAAAGGATTGCTCAAATTACTTTGGCCATATACTCTAGAGCCATGACGGGGAACATATGGTGGCACACAGAGCCCTCGTCGCCAGCTGGTCTTCTGATTTCCAGCCAGCTGGTCTTCATGGGTGCTGGAGCACCAGAAAATGGCCTGAAAACAGCCAAAAGCAGGCCGTTTTTCAGGCCATTTTTTGAGTCATTTTGCGTGCTGGCCAGCTGATCTTCGCAAGCACTGGAGCTCCGGAAAATGGCCAAAAACCAGGCTTTTGGGGGGCTGTTTTCAGGCCAATTTTGGGGGCAGAAAACAGTCTGAAAAACAACCTGAAAGTGGCATGAAAAATGGCCAAAAATGACCAAAAAAAGGCATGTGCATGCCGGCACTCCAGCACGCGCACATACGCAGACATGGACACGCATTCCTTTTTGGGCACTCGAAAAGGTTCGCCATCTCTAGAGCAGGGGTCTGCAACCTTGGCAAATTTAAGACTTGTGGACTTCAACTCCCAGACAGTTGAACTCTGGGAGTTGAAGTCCGCAAGTCTTAAAGTTGCCAAGGTTGCAGACCCCTGCTCTAGCACACAGGTCAAGGTCATCGGGCTAAACTACAAAAAGGGTTTTAGGTGACTAAATTGATTAAATATTAACAATATTACTCATAATAAACGTACGTTTTTACAAATGCACCTCCAGCCGTTTCCATCTTCTCAGTTTTCAATTGATTCACAAGTTTAAAATAAATTTAGAAATTTAAGCATAAGCAGCATAATTTTTTTTAAAAAAATCTCTGCCTATTTTCCCCCCTTGGTGCCACTGAGTCATTGTTAACTCTTGGTGACACTCTTGACTAGTCTCTGCAGTTTTCCTGGCAAGATTTTGGAAGTGGTTTGCCACTGTCTCCTTCCTGGAGAAAGTGCCTATAAGAAAGTGACTATCCCCAAAGGTCACCCAGTTGGTTTGTTTTTAACAAAGGACTGGGCATCTCCCTGTTTCTAGGTTGCTGCCCAGAGGTGGGTCAGCCGAACCAGTAGTGGCGGTAGCGAGAGGCTCTGCCCACCTGCCTGGACACTTCTGCACATGTGCAGAAGCGTTTCGTGTGCGAGCATATGCATGAGCGAAACGGGAGTAAACTGGTTAGCAACTCACCATTGTTGGTGCCCTAACCTCTACACCAAACTGGCTCTTCATTCCTACATATACTCTCCCATATAGACATAAGAGAAGATGGCAAGATAAGAACGGAATGAAAAACAGTATTGATAGTATTGCTGGGGACATGGGGGAGGGGGGGATGAGGTGGACTGACCTTCCAGATATTGCATTTAAACCAGAGGTGGGTTCCTACCAGTTCGCACCTATTCGGTAGAACCGGTTCATCAAATCTACCGAACNTATTGGTATAACAAGTAGTAATTGGATATGAATATTGAATGGTACCTATGAAAGGAAGATGTGAAATTGTTTGGTTACATATAAAGATTAATAAAAAGGAACTAAAGAACTTGTTGAATCTAATGTCTAGCTTACTAGTATGGCAACTGTTAAGCCATCCAATGGCACATTATTCTCCTTTGAAAAAGATGGTGTGGTGATAGAATATCCTGTTTAGGTACACACCTTAGTGAGACTTGTAACTTTTAACAAGGGGAAGTTTGTTAAAATTTCTAATTCCGGAATTGATCGTAATCTGAGAGGTTGGGTGAGTCACAAATAGGTGCTGGGTACAATGGGATTTCTGTTCAGTAGCTTGCCAACTGGTGAATTTCTTTAATTTATTAGGATGTTCTTTGCCAGTCCATTATGCTAGTTCATTCATTTAATATATTTATGAAATCCACCTCTTTCATTTCCCAACAGTGCTCTGGGGGCCTATATGGGCCTGATAGGATTGTTGGAAATAAATGTAAGGCACTTTGTTCCATAACATACCCTTTTCCCACTTCATTAAAATTGACTGTTGAAAAAAAATAGAAAAAAGATTAAATGCTAAATGTATTGTAGGAACACAAAAATGTTAAAATAATTGTTCCAAAAATGCAAATCCTCACATTGGTGAGAGGTTGGGAATGTTTAATCCTTCAGAACAAATGTATCCTTTTGGTTTTCCTTTGTTTGATTCCTTCAAAACACGGAAT